TATTCAATGCACAACTCCTTTCATTGAAAGGTTATGGTTAAATATTTTTTTGTTCCGTAAATAAAAGGTTTCAATTAGAATTTTCACAAGTAATTCACATAATTTATTATTTTATTGAGTAATACATATATATATTTTTTTTTAAGTAGAAAATATTCTATTATGGAATTTATTGAAATAATTGAATATTTGCTCTGGTATTAAAACTTTTTTTGCAACATGACATACCAATAGTAATTTTTTAATATTTTAACATGATCAAACAATACATTATATTTATTGATTCACATTTTTAGGGTTAAGTCTTTTTAATAGGAGAAACTTTAAAAATTATTTCAAAATTATAGCTTTAAGTTATTCTTATTTATAGGTTAGGTCTATCTAAAATGCAAAAATGTAATCTTGGTAAAATCTTATCAATTTAACGATAGCAAAATCTGACAAATTAATAATAACAAAATAATAAATTTAACAAAATTTCAATTTCATTAAAATAAAAATTAAACAATTTACATTATCTAACCAAAACCAACTATTTGGCTTCTATAAATATAAAATTCTATGTTATGAAATAATGACTATTAGGTTAGATATTATAAATTCTTTTTACTTCTAAGTTTTTTTTTTACTTTAATTTCTAACTTGTATAATTTCAAACTTTTATATTTGAAGCAATTGATATGATGCCAGCATATCTGAACAGTTTTTCTTTTTAACGTTTTATTTACTATTTGGCTGTATTACCACACAGGAGCACTTCGGAATTTATAATGTACTTGACATTTCCGAAAGATAAAAAAAAAAAAAACACTAAATGGAAAACATGTTAAACATTCAGTATTTTTTTTTATTTTACTTTTGTTTCTCAAAAATTAGTTGCAATATTAGAGAAAAGTTGAGTGAACTTACTTCAATCCTCTAAGCACAAATGAAATATGAAAGAATTCTTATGATTATTGTTCTATAAATAAGCCAATGAATAAAGCATTTTCTGTACTGAATGTAAGTAATATTTATTCAGATAAAATGCATGGAAGAATTGGAATTTATTCACAAAAAAACAAACCAATTGATATAATACAACCTAAACTGAATAAATTTACAGTTAAAGAATAATGTTAACATGTTGAGTCATAAGAACACAAACAGGGAGCAAATAATATCTTAACTGTATTAATGTGCTATTTAAGTGGCTTTAATCAATGTTAGCCATTGTCCTGACCTTATTTGTATGGATATCATATCTATAGTCATAAAGAAAGACTATAGTCTCTTTTAATCATTCTGTAGAATTTATTGCAATTGGAAAATTAATTTATTTCAATGATATAATCAGTTTTTGTAAAAAGTTAAAGAAAAATTAATGTTTATATCACAGTCTTAGAACAATATTTCATTAAATTTTAATTCAAATAAATTTATAAGTATTTATTTATAATCAAAACTATTTTCAATGCAAAACAAACTGTAAGGCACACAACTCAAAATATCATTTTAAAAAGAAAAATCTTTTCTTCATTTTTATTGTTTATATTATGGCTACCTAGCATAGGTGTAATAGTAAGCATGTTCACCCCAAAGACAAATCTTTTAGTGGAGTAACTGATCTTGATTGAGTGTCCCACAGCTATGGCATTGTACCAGTGTAAATTGAGCTTAGTAAATAACTGACTAGCTATATTATTAAAACATTTACACTGAAATGAATAACTAATGAGAGTGGATAAATTTCAATCATAAATTTCAGCTTAATTCATGTGGCATTAGTTTATACATGGTCCAATATTAGGAGAAAAAACTATATCTAAGTAGTAAATTAGTAAAAGGTATAACAAAATTAGCATAAAAATGTATATACTTATTTTTTGGTTTTAAATCACTAATAGTCTAAAAAACTTTTAATATGTTTTAACAAAAATGTTATATTAGAGAATGGTATGAATATATTTATTACACTTTTCTAAGTGCCTTTTGCAAGCTTTAAACTGAAATTTTCTTCACAAAGAGAACTCTGAAAAGACCAGAATAAATAGTTATTTCAATGTGCAATATCTGGGGAATATGAGGAATGTATAAAAACTTCTCAGCCAAGCTGTAAGTTTTGTCTGGACACCCAATAAACATGTGGTCATGCATTATCAAGATGGAATATTATGCCCTTTCTCATAACTAATTCCAGACACTTACTTCTATTGATTTCTGCTTTCAAGTGGTCTAATTAGGAGAAATACTTGTTTGAATCAATTGTTTGGTTCTCTGGGAGAAGCAATATGGCAGATGATTTCCTTCTAAAAATCACTATACTTAGCGTCCTCTTTTTCTATGGTACAATTAGTGAGAGGTCATTTCACTTGCCTCACAATCTTTTTCATTACACTTTGTTGAACAATATTCACTTTTAATCAGTAGTAACAATTTGTATTTAAAAAAAAAAAGAAAAAAAAAGCAATACATGTAAGGAGCTAACTTAATTTGGATGCTCCAGCAGTTTTTTTCTGCTTATGTGGAAGCCACACACACAGCCTGTACAAATAATTTTTAACATTTCATTTGGATATTTAGAGTATATTGGTTATCTCCCACTTCCTGTTGATTATTCTAAAATAGTATCAACCTCATTGTTCAGACATCTCAATGCAATATGAAAACCAATTTTAACATGTTTGATCATTCACAGTATCTTTTCCATAAACTTCAAATTGTTTTTGCATTTGAGTAACATTTTTACCATTCGGAAAATATTAATTTCTTACATATTCAATATTAGAATCAAATAAAGAAAAATACACCAATTTTGATAAAATTAAAAAGTAAATGTACTATTATGACAGCTGTCACAATACAATAAAGTGATATTTTCAATGAAGTTAAAACTAAACACTCCAAATGCCACCTGACATTGAAAACACAATGCCCCCCACCACAATATAATTCTAAAGTCCTTTTACTTTTAAAATATTTTTTAATAAATTTATAACTGTTAAAATAGTCTTTAATATCATTAAAATTAAAATGATTTTTATTTTGTAAAATAAGAAACAATTCAATTTTTCTAAATATATTCTTTTTTAATATTTTTCTAATTGTGCAATATTCAGAAAAGCAAAACATTTACTTAATTTGTAATTGAAATTTTGAAGTGAGTAGATCTGCTTCAGCAATACAGCAATAAACAAGTTCTGGTTTCTTATAATTATTACTTCTGTAATACTATTACTCTTCTTCCAAGAGAAAGCAAAAAAAAAAAAAAAAAAATACATAATAATAACCATCTTTAAAATTTCAGTGAAAGCTAAAATTTTAAAAGATGAAAATTGTTTTGATGAATAATGAAAAACTGTCCTAAATGTGTCAAAATAGCTCGTTGATGAGTTGTGAACTTCCTGTTTTCATTTTTCATTTGAATGACAGGGAAGGTCCTAAAACATGAGGGTGCTGGAATTTTTCTTTTTTTTTTCTCTCATTTTGTTTTTTTTTTTATTTTTAAACTTAACCTACTGATTAGCTTTCAATCTATTTCTATTTTAACTACATCAGAATCTTCACACTATCATAGACAGACTTATATGACTACTACTTTACTGGATCTTATCAGGAATCTTGTCAGTAGGTATTATTTATATTGTCTCCATACATAAGCTATTTTATAAGTCTAATTTGTTAAAAACAAAACAAAAAACAACATGAGCTTTATGGAAAAATAATTTTGAGTTCTAAAATTGTAAAATACTTTTCATGCCGTTCAACTTTAGATAGACAAATATCTTAATAGGTAAGAGTTAAAATGAAAGTAGTTTTTGGTATATAAATATTTATAGAAAATAGAAATAAATCTTTAGCTTTATTGATGATTGCTTCTCAGATTTTGTTACTTGCATAAACATTCTATTGTTTAAAAAGCTTTTAGGCATTATAAATGGAATAAATATTAATGCAAGCTTGAATAACTAAATCTAATATGATTTTTATACTATATGCATAGAAACATCCCCACTGACACTTATATTTAAATTAACAGATGAATAAAATATTTGATTGTTAATGAAAAAACAAATTTTGACTAGTCAATCATACCATCAGATACAAATATTTTATTTAGTAAACTAGTAGTGTTTGATTATTAAATATTTATACTGAAGTACTGTGTTGTACTGGAAAAATATATATATATATATATATATATATATATATATATATATATATATATATATATATATATATATATAGGATTTATTCTGGAGACATATTGAAATTGAGCTTAAAGTTTCATGCTCTGTTGAGGGAAGAGTTAAATTTTAATACAAATATAAACTGCTTCTCATTAAGAAAATAAATTCAAAGGCCACAAAACATTTATCATTCACAATTAGGTTATAATTTGCTTTCAGATAATTTTTATTATTAAGCTGTAGTAATTCAAAAATGCATATTCAAATAATTGTTCTTTGCAAGGATGGGGAATACATGCTTATGACTTATTTTAATATATTTTTAATATCTATAATATACATGTCACAATCCTTATTAATTTTTAATTTAAACATTTGAGGTAAAAAAAAAAAAAAAAGTCTTCAGCAATTACAAAGAATTATATTATTGAACTTAATTATTTTTCCATTAAAGATTAATTGTATTTTTAAAGATAATTGTTTATCCTCCCAAATGCAATTTACACAAATTAATTATTGTTAGAATTATATTTGTATCTAAGTGACCATATGAATATATTACTTAATAAACATAAAAGTTTAAGAGGATAATCACAGTAAAGAATATAATTTTTAAAAAGCAAAAGCTTAAAAAGAAACCCGAAATGTAAAAGAAAAATACTCAAATTTCTCTTCAGAAAGAATATAATAAAATTTTGTTTCCAAATAATTTTTTGAAAATATTTAATGTAAGAATTATTAATTCAAAATATGCTTAGAACTTGAGTAACTTATGAATATTTATTTTTGTACCATATCAGAAATCCTAACGTTTTTTTTTTCTTTCTTTAGTTGCTGGAAAGGAAGCATTTCAGGAACATACATCCATCCATTTTAAGCATGCCTGTCCAATGTGTGAGTACAAATCACGAACAGAGGGGCGACTGAAAAAACATATTGAGAACTTTCATAACAACCCCACACCAGAGCAGCTGGCTGCCAATAAACAAAAGAAAGGCAAAATGCCAGCTAAGCCAAAGAAATTCACTTGTAAGACTTGTGGACATGAAACACCCACAAAGGTAGGTAATAACGGTCACTATATTTGGTCTTTTGCTGAGATTGCATTCTAGTGCTTGTTTCTGTTGAAAAAAAAAATCACTTGATGCTGCAAAATTTTGAGGTGAACTGAGAATCCTTTCAGTGCAATTGAATTAATATAAGCTCAATCAATGTACTTACCACCCACAGCACCATGAATATCTCTCTCAGCATTTACTATTAGTTTTTGCCATTTGTTAAATAAAATGGAATTGTGTTTTCATTTCTTTCTGCTAAATAATTTTTTATAAAAATAATTGCATGAAATAATAAATATTGTAGTAAACAAAAACATTTTTAAAAGTCCACTAACATTTTATGTTGTGTATAACTGCAGCTTCTTATAGATATACACAAGGTTTTAAATAGTCCAATACACGATCACAGTCATAGGGCACTGCATGAAAAGTGAATTTCATTAAATTTGCAAGGATTCTCAGAAAATGGTTTCATAAATATTGATGTACAGCAGGAGCAAAAATTTATATATATCTTATATACAAATCTAAAGACATTCACAAAGAAACTGAAACAGGACATTGATTTATGTCCTGTTTCAGTTTCAATGTGATTAAATTGTAAAAACTGCAATAAATTAAAAAATATTTTTGTTATTTTCAATATGTTTATTAGATGGCTTATAATTTTATTTATATGTAAATCTGTAGATTTATTTAATTATGACTTAAGTAAATTTTTTTCTTTCATTTTCTTCAGGTTGAATTTTGGGCACATGCACGTTCTCATATGCGAGAAGATAAAATTCTCAACTGCCAGTTTTGCCCCTTTGTCACTGAATACAAACACCATCTGGAGTACCATCTGCGCAATCACATGGGTTCTAAGCCATTCAAGTGCAGTCAGTGCAATTACCGCTGTGTTAATAAATCTATGCTCAACAGTCACATGAAATCGCATACTAATGTCTACCCATTCCGCTGTCAGGACTGTGGATATGCTACCAAATATTGTCACAGTCTGAAACAGCATTTGGACAAGTTGGGACATATGCCGTCCACAGTCCTGAACAGTGATGGAAGCCTACCTCAAGGACTTGATAACAATGTATCTCGGTTGAGATTTGCTAAGGGCAGACGGGTCAAAATAGCCTGCAGGGCCCCCACTCTTCGCAAACCTGACCGACGTCAATACATGCAAGGTGGGTTTTTTCCAATGGGTATGCCACCCCAAGTGATGAATGGAACTGTTTTGCCCCCCTATTGGCATCTCATGAACCAGATGCCACCCAACGGTTTCCATCCTGGTGTACCAAGACCGCCACCCCCACTGATTCCGGTTTCTGGAGTGCATTCTGGAGACCCACATCAGCAGTCCCCACAGCAGCAGCAGCATCATCATCAACAACAGCAACAACCATCCCAGCTCCAACAACAGCAACCACCACCTCCACCCCAGCATCAACAGCAATCACAACCACCATCTCAGCAACAACAGCAACCACAGCAGCAACCAATACCGCCACCGCCCCCACCGCCACATCAGCAGCAGCAGCATCCTCCTCAAGATGTTACAGTTTCTACCTCAGTGACATCTGCTATCAACTCAAGCCCTTACAAATGCACCTTCTGTAGTGTTACTGCTGAAAATATGGAATCTTTAAATAACCACCTTTTGAAAGTTCATGCTGCCGAGAATCAAGATTTGTTCAATGCATTCGGCATCTCATCTGAAGCTTTGCTTGAGGACCACAACTTACGGACATCTATGATATCCAACACTTTTAACCATTCCGACGGATCCGAACAGAAACGAAATGATCCATCTGATTCACTTTATGGAAATACAGATAGTAACTTTCAGCGGTCCAGCAATGGGAGTCCCCCGTTCAACGAAATGAAATCTGATGTTAAAGCAGAGAATATCAACCAAAAAGCCACAATGTCTTCACACCCTATAATTCAATCTAGTGGTTCTTCCTCTCCGCAGGCTAGCACAATCAAACAAATGATGAATCGTTTTGGAATGGGGCCACTGCCAACATCTCAGGCAGGTCCAGAAGTCCCGCAAACAACTGAAATACCACTAGATCTGCGAAAACCTAAGTCACCTATCATGACTTCTCCATTCATGGGAACTGGTCATGATTTTGATATGAGAAATGCCAGCATGCCAGGATCAAATGTCCAACCTACAAATGTATTAACCTCCCCTATAACTAGTATTCACAGCTCTGCCCTCACAAACATGAAACGTGTCCCCTACCAGGAAGCCATGACTAAAAAACGTTCTCGTAAAAGTCGAGCATTTAAAAGAGATACATTTCGAATAAAATATGAAGACCACATTCCAATGGCAGATGGAGATGACGAGCTATCTCGAGGGAACAAAAGCAGTAGTGTTAGCCCGGATGTTCCTCAAGAGTGCATGGAAACTCAAGCTTCTGAGTGTGCCCCAGAATCTGGAGCATATTCCATTTTTCCTGGGGACAAACGGAAAACTCCAACTGAAGACTATCCTACCGGTTCTTTCCGGTCAACTCCAAGCAACGAAAAGAGCCCCCAAGGAACTGATGATCATGTAATCAGCTATGAACAGCTACACAAAAGTCTGCAGATCCTTAATGAAGAACTGGAACACAAACCTGACGTTTCTGGTCATAATGCAAACAATCCTATCAATGACAATATGACAGCCCCAGTCCCACCTCCACCACCACAGCAGCAACCACAGCCACAACCACCACCACCACAGCCACCCCAACCTTCAACATCGGCAGCAGTCACATCAGAAAATATGTCAGGTGATCTCTTACCAGAACAAATGAACCACTTTCTCAATACATACTATAGCCAACAGAACTCCTTGTCGGGGATGCATCGACGTGGTTCAAAAATTGCAATGCAAATCATTCAAGAAACTGGTGGAAGCCACCATCAGACAAACAATCAACCCCCACCTCAAACCCCCATGTTGCCACCCCAGCAAAATGGAGCTGGATTACCTTTTAGACGCTATCCCATGAACCCCAATGATGGTGGTGCTTCTAGTAACAACAATAGCAACCCAAAAGTGGATCGTAAAAATAAGGAGCAAGAAAATGAAGAAACTTTTGAGTGTGGGCATTGTGGTATAGTATATAGAAGTTGTATCATGTACACTATTCATATGGGATATCATTGCCAACAAGACCCACTAAAGTGTAATATGTGTGGACATCAAAGTAGGGATAAAATTGATTTTTTCATCCATATTGCCAGAGCTCCCCATGTATAAGCCTCATTGCAAATGTAGAAAATTTGAAAGAAAGCTTGTGAGAAAGAATGAGACAGGTCAATAAATTGACCCGAGTAGCTGGTGCTCATTCCTTGTGTTCTTTCTGAAAAGCCGTGTTGTGCTAAGACATTCCCCCCCACACTCGTCCCACCCCAGTAATTAAAATTCTATTACTACTACTACTGTTACTACTACAACTACTACTGTAATTACTAATTTTTTTTTCTTCTAATATTGTTACTATGGTGACAACGACAACTTACAAGCACTTTACTAATGTTTGAATCTGGAAATGTAAAATGCATAGCTGACAGTTTTTTTTTTTTTTTTCCTGAATTCATTTAAAAGATTTTCTGAGAATTTCTACTTCTTTGGGGATATCACTTTCTCTTTTACAGTTTTTTTTTTTTTTTTTGCTACTCTAGGTATATTGATTTACAAGTCTATTACTGTTTTTACCTACAATGTATCATTTCTTTTGTTGTTGTTTCTGATTTTCTAAAAGTACATCAACCAAAGCACAAATCAACATAAAAAAATGATTTTGACAATGTTTTTTACACAATTAACAGCAGTAATCAAAAGTAATAGCCCCAAACAGACTGAAATAGGTAAACATGTTAGAATGAAAGTTACATTTCACAATGATTAGGGAATATAACAACGATAAAATGGAGTTGATTTGAATAAGTCTGAATATTTTGCAATATGTGAATGAATGTATTTATATTTGTGTGCATGTGTGTGAATCTAACTTGAATGATGAATTTCTTCTCCTTATAGTTTCAAATAAGGAATAGATTTTTAAAAACTCTTATCTTTGCTTAGTTTACATTTCTCACTTTTATTATCATTCATTTTTTATGCTTTCATTTCCAATTTGAACAAACATTTTAAGGCTGGAAATAAATCATGAAATGATTCTCAATATAATAAGCTATATAATGAAACTATTTCAATTGCTTAGCAAGTAAGAAGTAGTATATTAAATACTTGCCATTACCATGAAGTATTAAATAATTTTGTATATGCATAAATGTTTGCTATGGCAAAAGTTATTTAGACCATTTTTGGAAATTTGGTGAAATTATTTCAGAAATTTTAAAAAGTAGTAATTTCTTTTAAATATTCAAAAAATAAAATTGAATATTCATTAAGACCTTAAGGTTTCAAAACAATCTAAGAAATTTTGTGCTTGTCAACAGACACTTTTATTAAAATGAACATTTTAAGTTTTCAAAATGATAAGCATGATATATGAAGCTAGTGATTAGTGAAAATTATTTAATATTTAACTATATGAGCAAGAAAATTGAGACTGATCCAGGATTTCAAATTCATTTTCAGTAAATCCATTGAATTTTCTTTTCAAATCCATTCTAAATTGTAATATAAAGTTAATATTTTCTATCAAGTCAATTGTTATCTTGAAATCTAGAGCAATCAAATTAATCACTGTGCCTATTTAATGAGAAGAAAATTTGTGACAAATTCATTTTCCATTTTATTTAGTGATTGCAAGCAAAACTGGTAAAAATGCTATTTCTTAATGCAATCACATCTTGAAAAAAAATAAAACAGATTTGAAAAAAAAAAAAAAAAGATTTTAGAAGTTATTGCATATTTCCTTGCTCTTAAACTGATGAAAAAGATAAGTTCTAAATTTAGCTTTTTAAGGATTTATAAAATAAAATGAAATAGAATTAAATTATAAACATTGCTCATTTCAGTCAATCACTCTCCACTTCAAAGTGGCAAACCAAAGAGAATATGCAAATATTAGATGAGTGAAAGGAATAACTTTTAATAGAAGTGCTCAATGTCATGTACTATCCATTATATAAGACATTTTTAAAATATTGAATGCAAGAAATAAGAACATCAGTTGTTATACAAAATTAAAGATTAAACTAGTTATGACTATATTTCATAGTTCAAATGTCACAAAAAACTGAAGTATATGATATATTTTAGCAGTTTTTTAAAGAACTATATATATGATTGAGTTTTATACAGGCAGTAGCTGATGATTTAAAACAAGACTATACTGTCAGCCTTATAAATTTGCATATTTTCATAAACATATGGATTAGCTATTTTCCATCTATTGTTTTATGACCAACATTTCATTAGGCAAAATAAATTTAGAAGAAATACTCATTACAGCTGAAATTATTTAGATTGTAACTGAGGCTCTATTATTTTGTTTTCTTCTAAATAGAATTGTTATAATTTTATAAAAATAGAATGGCAGTGGGATGAACATTAAATTTATTAGTATCTTGCAATTAATTATTAAACATTAAGTAAATGCTAAATCAAAATTCAATCCCATATCTCAGTGAATATTCATTATTCACATTCAAAAAATTCACCTAAATTAAAAGATTTAATTTTTTGTTGTTCTAAGATTTGCTCCAGTTAGTAAATAATCCTATATTCCTACATATTTTAATGTATCAAAATGCTTAGATATGTAAGTAGATACACATTTTAGTGATATGTATGAAAACATGCATATGCAACTATTATGTCAGGTTGACATTAAGCAAATTGATAAACAGATTATAAGAATGTCAAGAGATTAATCCAATGAATATAGATGGTAAAAATATTAATACTACCTACTACTATGATTTTTGTTATAGTAAATCTAATTAAAAAAAAAAACAAAATCTGTCAAAAGCTGCAAACCAGATTTTGATGTCCTGCAAATAGTTGGCTCTTTATTTAACATTTACACAAAATAGCATAGTCAGATTTAATGTATTTGGACAATGGAAAGTCTGCCTGAAATTATCAGTTCTTCAACAAGACATGAAAAAGGTATGGTGGTGGTGGTGGTGGTGGTGGTGGTTATTATGGTGGTGTTGATAATATACTAGTAGTAAAGGCAGCATAAGTATTTATGGTAGTAGTGATGGTAGCAGTAGTTGTAGTATCTCTAGGCATATTGTATAAAGGAAAGATGACCATTGTTTCACTTTTTTTTTTCTTTTCTTTTTTTTTTATTTTACACACACACACTTTGACTGGTTCAAAAAGTGTCCTGAAAATCTTAAAAATTTATGACTTTCTTTTCTCCCTTGCATTCCTTTTTGGAATATATTGACTAATGAGATTTTACGTATTTCTTGTACAACAGTATTTTTGCTAGAAATTGATGGTAAATTCATCTTTTTACCAAAGAATTTGCTAGAAATTTAATTTGTTTGATTTTAAAATTTTCTACAAATCAAATATCTTGGACGAATACTGCATTGGCTTAACATTAAAAAATAAAATAATTCTCATCTTTAATAAGCTCTTTCATTTTTTGATAATCATATTTTTCTTGGTATTAAAAGTTCAAACTTGTCATGGATGAATTTCATAGACATCCTGAAATATCCCCAAAGAACCACTAGAAACAAAATTTGAAAAAGTCATTAGTAAACACTTAATAAAAAAAAAAATACCATGCAGTACATTAAAAAAAAAACAAAAAAAAACAGCTTAGTTGATAATAAATATATGTAAATTTTTACTATGTTTACATTATTGATAAAAATCCCAAACAACATATGCTGACTGAAAATAGGAAAATTAAGGAGACTTTGAATTTTTCAGATAAATATAAAACTCTGAATTTAAAAGCCACTAACAGTTTTTCAAATATCATTAAATATTTGTAAATAGAAAAGTATTATAGTTATAGTAACTATTGCGTTTTGGGTATCATTTGGGCAAGTGCAAAATACAATAAACTAACTTGTTGGTCATGAGGGAGAAAAGAAATTCATTGAATTTAGATGTTTTATAAAGTCTAAAATACAAAACTTGATTACTTAATGCTCTCACTTAAAATTTTTTGCATAATTTTTCTTCATTGACAGTATGTCTTATTGTATGCTGATCAACATCCCTTGCAGCAGCAGTCATGTTATTCTGCTCAATTTGACACCTGCTTATGGCAGTTCTAGTTTAATCCATGGTTGATTTATGACCTCCTCCCATACACACAATCTAATGGCTCTAGTTAATTCATTGTACAAATAGAGGGAAAAAAAAATCAACCCATTAATGGAATGTGTATGTAATTAATGGTGCTCTGCCTGCTGAACTGAACCTGGAAACTGGTGAAGGGGATTCAATGGTGCTTCTTAAATTTTTAATTAACTCGGCATTTTAGTTGTAATATAAAGTGGAGGACAAATTAAAAAAAAAAATCAATTTGCTATTTATAAAGACCAAAAGGAGATTTTTTTGTTGCCTTTCTTTTTTTTTTCTCTTAATACTTATTGTTTTACTGGCTGCTCACTTTCTCACAATCAATGGCCACAATCAGGTCAGGTGTGGTATTATAATAGCCTACCTTTTCTGAGGAAACAAGTATGCTGGACAATTTGTAACCATTGTTTGTGTTCCTTTTCCCTGAGTAGAATGCTTTTGGTGCCACAAGTTTTACACAGCCATTTCACAACCATTTTTTTTTTTTTTTTTACACCATGCTTTTTGCAGCTCTGTCCTATGTGTTTTGAAAAGTTAATGGATGCACATACAAGCATGCTTCTTCATTTGCAGTCTTGTTTCTTTTATATTACTTATGTGCAAACTTTCCATCCTTTATTAGCCTTTCCAACATCCTTACTTCTTACTATTCAGTTTTTCTAGGACTTTCTGGTTATCCAGCTCTACTATTTTGTAAAATTTGTCTGTGGCCTCTGGAGAGTTTTTTTGATAACTAGAAGGTTCAAGAAAAAAAAAAAG